ATACAAATATTTTGAAACATGCTTCAAATATGTATAAATATGTAGGAAAAAACTCCGTTCTAAAAAACTTATACTTTCTTTGAAAAAAATTCGCAAAAATAGCATAAAAATTTGGCCTCTGGACTAGAATACCCCCTTAATGCTGTCTATTGTGTGATTATTTAAAAAATCATCGCTCCAATTCCGTAACAAGAGAAATGTAAAGGGAGCTGTCTCTCACCGGCGGCGATGCAGTTTTCGCCCTTATTGAAGAACACGCTGCTCATGCCGATCCTGACCGCCTGCTGCATGTCGGCGTCGTCGAAGATGACGAGGGGACTCTTACCACCAAGTTCCAACGACACCTTCTTCAGATTGCTGTCGGCGCAGCATCTCATGATGGTTTGGCCGACCTGCGTGGAACCGGTGAAGCCCAGCTTCCTGATCAACGGATGCCCGACTATGGCGTTCCCGACGGCGCTGCCGAATCCGCAGACGATGTTGATGACGCCGGGCGGAATTCCAGCGCGCGCGGACAGCTCGGCGAACTTCAGGGCTGTCAGGGGTGACGCCTGGGCCGGCTTCATCACCACGGTATTGCCGGCCGCCAGGCAGGCCGCCATCTTCCACGACAGCATCATCAGCGGGTAGTTCCAGGGGGTGACCAGGCCGCAAACGCCGATCGGCTCGCGCCGCGTGAACGTGAGATTCCGGTTCGGGCGTGCGTGCGAGATGGGTATGGTCGAGCCCTGGATCTTGTCGCACCAGCCGGCGAAGTAGCGCCAGGTCTCGATAGACATGCCCACGTGGGTCTTCAGAGCGAGAGTGTAGACCGCGCCGGAGTCGAGAGTCTCCAGAGTGGCCAGCTCCTCCTTGTGCTCCTCCATCAAATCCGCCAATCTGGAGGATCAGTAATAGTGCAGTAAAATAAGACAAAAATCGGGCTTAACTTCGGAATTCCGTGTAACAGGTCGTATCGTCTTCAAACTTTTTTAAAATTGTTATAAATGCTGTACGTATGAAAGTCTACCCATTAAAAAATGCCGCTGCTTTCTTATTGTTGCAATTATAAACAATTATTGCAAAATTAAATGATAAATTAAATGATAAATACATGGATCGAGTAAGTGAAGTATTTTTCTTCAATAAGCACTTTGTTTTTTTTGCTTTTGCTTTTACCAATCAAAAGTTATAGCCATTTTTGTACGGAGCCCGCCTCACATTTTTGGCTCATGCCTCATATACGCAGCCATATATTAGACCTTAATTAATAAATTCACATCTCTAAGGGATTTGATCGTACAAAAAATTTTCTTACACATTATTTGCGTAAAATTTCCTCCTCTTTCGATTGGCGCAAGCAGTTTTTTCGGTAAAATTAAATTTTAAAAGTTATTCGCAAAAAACCGTAATTTTGCACCTATTTTGTTTAATAACTATTACAGCGGCACTTTTTAGGAAGTCGACTTTTTACCATATATTATTGATACAATTTAGAAGAGATTGGCAAAAGTCGACCCTGTTACAAATAATTCCGAAGTTGATTCCTTATTTTACTGGACTATAAAGGAAACGTCAAAGAATTGGAAATGATCTCCCTGCACTAAGCGGAAATGGATTGAAATTTCAAGTCATGGATTAAAATGATTTGAAATGGATTGGCTTTCGTGAACGTGAATGCATCTCTATAAAGGCCAAACCATTTCAATCCATTTCCCTTTACTGGGCTACGTTTAGTGTGTTCGATGAATACATCCAATATTCGAATAAATGAATAAATAATGAATATGAATACGAGTACATATATATTACGTTTTTCATATTCATGGAAAATTGCATAAATACTTTTTATGCGATTTTAATGAATATATTTGTGAATATATGATTACGAATATTTTCGATTTCGCATTCACCTCCACTTTACACACTAAAATTGTGCCTTCGAGCTTGGTTTAAGTTTAAGAAACACGATGATTAATTAAATAATACATTTTATTTAGCATCCACAAGATGCTAAAGCACTTAAAATATCTTACAGAATTACTGTTATTGTAATCCGAAATTGCAGTGTTCGACTTTACTGTATCTTTTTGGTGTGTAAAAATATAGAAAATAAAAATTAAATATCATAAAAAGAATTATTGTTGCGAATAAAAGACTTTTAAATAAGAAATTTGTTTTCTAAAATATTTTTCAAAATTTGTAAGTTTTCTTTTTCAAATCTGGATATTAATAACGATATATAAAATTTCTTTTTTACTTTCTTTTTTACTTTTCATTTTGTATGAATAAATATGAATAAATCATAAAATAATCATAAAATATTCACGAATAAATATTTCCAAAAGCCCACAAGTTTGAATAAATATCTGAACGGATATTTTTTTAATGTGAAAATTTTGAATGAATATAAAATCTAGTCCAATCACAAATTTTTTGTATTCATCGGACACACTAGCTACGTGCGATCGTATTAAATTATCCTCTTACCTGAACAACAACGCTCCACGTTCCCTGGCACTGATCTTGCCCCATTCACCCTCCTCGAAGGCTTTTTTCGCGGCCCTGACGGCTCGGTCGACGTCCTCGGCGGTCGCGCTTTCCACCGAGCAGATCACGCTTTCGTCGTGAGGATTCACCGTGTTGACGGGTTTGCCGTGGCCGTTGACAAACTCGCCGTCGATGAAGATCTGCCTGGGGAATCTCAGAGTCATGTTGTTCGTCTGTATCTCCACCGCGTCGTACTTGATCTCTTTCCCGGCTAGGTTTCCCCGAGCAGCGAGTACAACTGTCGTGGCGAACTCCTTGAAGACCGGCGCCATGAAGACATCGATGTTCTGCAGACTAACGCCGAAGTTATCTTTGACTTCCTCGACCAGTCGCACCACGTCCATGCTGCCTCCACCTGCGGCAAAAATTTCGCAGGATTAATTTGAATTTGTCATGTGTACAATTAATCTAAAGTTAGTTGATTTAAAAACGTACGATAACAATGGCGAATAAGAAATCAAAATTAAATTATTATACAACGCATATAAATCCTCAATTTTTCAGCGTAAAAAATGTACATTTAATTAACCCTTTGAAGCACGGTGGTCCCTATAGGGACCACCTTTTTTACCCGCTAATTTTATTTATAAAAATTCAATTTCAAAGTATTTAAAAATAGTGGTTGGTTTTTTTAGTAGCTAAGGTATTTATCTACAATATTACACCACTAATGTTTAAATTTCATTTGTTGTAAAATTGTTATAAGTAAACAAACACCAAAAAATGCAGTTTTTGTTGGATAAAAAGCGTTTTCCAGCTTATTTGAGGTTCGATTTTCATGGCAATTTTTACTAATGGGTTTTTATGGTCGCTGCCCGGGAAAAAAGTTCCATATATAATTATATATAATTATATGCAAAATATGTCCATATATGTTTCTTTCCTTTGTAAAATTATTCTTTAATACAAAATTGATAATAATAAGAAAGGAAACATAAAAAATGATTAAAAGAATAATTGTTATATGGTTTTT